TTGACTGTGTCTGATCATTCAGGGACTTTCAGCTCCGTGGAGTTTTGGAAGAAATCTTGCCAGAGCTCTGATGACCTCCTGCTGGTTTATATCTTCTACAGCAGACTTGAGCTGCTTCTATGCCATCCAGGAAAAAGCTCTTTCTCCATGCTTGTCCCACTGAATGTGCACCTTTGGGGTGTCGTTGGGCATCCTTCCTACTGGCAGGGGAGCTCTGAAGTCCACAAATGGAAGAGAAGAGACATCTCTGCTTATTTCCTAGGTGTTAGAAACTCAAAAGATGGGCATAGTTTCCACAGTAGGCAACGCCTGGGAATCAGGGGGCTGGCCAGAGAGAATTTCAAGCAAAGTTCAAAATGTCCTAATTCCCTGGGTGGTTATTTTTCCTCCCTTTCAATTTGCTTCCCTGGAGTGAACTCTTAAAGGTAAAGAGCCTCTGAATCTTTCTTCAGGGAAGGGAAAAGAAATTTAAGTTCTGGACTCGCTGTAATATATTTTGTAAATATATTACATTAATATAAAATTGGCAGCCAGAGAGTAATCTTTATCTACCACAGTTTTAGGTGTCTGAAGAAATAATCTCCCATGCTGGAGATCCACCATTCTCCTTTGAGTTAATCTTCTAAAAACAGCCAGAAGGGGTAAGTATAAAATTATGGAGCTAAGAACATTGATTCTAATTAATTTTGGTAAAAAGCAGAATTATAATATAAACACTTTTAATTTTAAATGATATCAATAAGGCTGTTTAAAAAATAAACTGAGCTCTCTTTGCTGTGACTATTTTGAGATAAAGGCCATTCTTCACATCTGGAATGTTGGCATTCTAGAAAATGTTGACATCACTCTGAAGGGACAGTTATTGTGAAGGGCCTTGAAAAGAAAAAGAAGAGAATCTAGGTTGACAAACAGTGGCAAATAGAAAGGAACTTGCCACGGGCTACTCTTACTGCATCTCAGACTCAAAAGTGTTCTCCCTCCAGTGCATAATGGCAAAGCTCAAGTAAAAACTGATGACTTCAGCTGCAGAAGAGGAGGCAACATCCCAAGTAAAATCTCTGTAGTAGTTGTTGGTCAGGTCGTTATGGCATGTGCCATCAGCATTCTGGGGAAGTCGGGTGAATGAAGTTACCCCTGTGGATGCCTTGTATTGTTTTCTTTTTCAAGATTATATTTGCTTTTTCATAGAAGATTTGGGGTAAAGACCAGAGGTGCAAGGGCTAAGAGGATTCACAGAGTGGGGAGCAGAATAGGCAGATCTACTGAAATGCACTGCTGAGGGAGCAGTGGGAGAGATAGGAGAGGTCTGCTGTGCCACAAGTGGGTCACCTCCCTGACCTGATTGAACCTGTGCTGCAGATAGCATCACAGTGCTGAGACTTAACCCTTGTGCCACCAAAGCGGCCCCCTTCTGGATTTTTTTAGAAGATAAACTCAAAGGAGAATGGTGGATCTCCCACATGGGAGCACAGCCTAACACTGTGGTAGATAAAGGTTACTCTTTGACTGCCAATTTTAAGATTGTGGTGGTAGGACTGGTGGGAGTCTGCCAACAAGAGGGAGAAAATTGTCTCAATCTGGGGCAGAAGAGAGTCCATGTCTTCAAATTATTGTCCCTCAGATTATCAAGTACAGTCCTGATTGTGTCATCAATGTGGTTTCCATCCCAGCAGATAGTCTCACATGCTACCTGGAAACCAAGTGGATCACCCAAGTACCATGTGGTGATAAGTGGGTTTAATCTGAACTCTACTAGGTTTTTGCTATTTTATGGCTAAAAACCTTGACATTCATCCCAGGCGCTGTCTTGGCTGTGTGGAGTGGAGTAAATGGGACAGGTGTTTCTCTCTAGGAACTGAATCCTGAATGGGAACAATGATCGTGAAACTGGAAGGAACTGGACAACATGGCGATAACAGTGCCAATTAAGTCATCAAGCTAAAGGACACACCAACTGGATTATGTGCAGCTGAATGCATTGAATCCATGTTCAAAAATCTTTCCAGGAGTCATTCAATGTCAACAATGGAGGAAGGGATGTAGAGCACTGAAAATGAAAATCTTCCTGAGCTGCCCATGGACTCAGAATCCTTGGGAATTAACCAGTGTTAACAATGAAAAGCTGAAAGATGATGAGGTTGCTCAACTCAAGAAAAGTGCAGGTACCCTGTGGGGCATCCAGAAGGACTAGAAGACCGGTGGCTAACATAGGAAAACTACAATGTGATTAACCATAAGCCTTTACTTTTCATCCATATAAATACATCATAATTTGCTTTTATCTTCCTAAATATGTGAATTGGAATCAAAACCCACACTTGGTTTAATGGTTGCAATATGAACCCTGAAACAAAAGAAAAAGAAAAAAGGGAACTGGCCACAGACAGCAATTCATATCTAAATACAGCACATGACCAAGGGTGTTCCACTGATTTTCCATTACAAGATGAGGGTGTGTATGTTCACTTCCCCATCACTGTCTTTATTTAGGAGAGTAGGCCTCTTATTGACATTTGAAATTTCTTGAATGAATAAATGTACCTGCAGGGTTAAGATGTGTATAGGCATGTTCAATATCTCAAACTCATAAAGTTATTGGCATCAAATCCAACTGCTTCAATAGAGCAAGTCACAAGAGTTACACTCAAAGATATCAGAAAACTTTTGTATATTATCTACATATCTGAACAAGAAACTGATTAGCAGTCTGATAAATAAGATCTACTTGTTGTTCAATTATGGAAACAAGATGCCTAATCATTTTCAAGACCTAATTGTGATATTTTGAAAATTCAATAAAATTTATCTATTAAAAACATCATAATGAGGGCCCTCCCTGGTGGCGCACTGGGTTAATGCATTGCAAAAGAAGCCTAAGCCACTTCCTCACAAGTTCGATCCCCGCCTGCCCCGGAGGAGATCCACATGGCGTGGCAGACCTCTCCTGACCCGCCCGCTGCTCCCCTCAGCAGTGTACTTCGTTGATCTGCCTGTTCTGCTCCCCACTCTATCCCTGGTGAATTCTCTCACCCTCCGCATCTCTGGCCTGTACCCCAGTTCTGTATGAATAAATAAATCTTTAAAAAAAAAAACAACATCATAATGAGAAGTATCAGACTAGTGCTTTGGTCAGCTGAGTGTTCTGTGACTTGTCAGGAGCAATCTTACCCATGGATCTGTGCACTGCTTCATTCCACCACCAGGGGGGCACATGTCATTACTTTTCTGTCCTAGACATCAGAAAGTCCTTTGGATGCAGAGTCCTGGGAAAGAAGAGGGGTGAATGTATTATCAACAATGGTCGATGTAGCTTTGGGTGTGTTACCTTGACAAAGTCACTTCACTTCTCTCAGCCTCAATTTCCTCATCTGTACACATAAAAATAACTCATTGTATAGTCTTTCACAGCTAAGAATCCCTTAGCAGAGGGTCTTCTCAGGAGGAATGCTGTTATTATTGTCCTCAAGTAGTAGGAATACAATGGTTACCCTCCCTGTGTTCCAGGTGACCTTTACCCAAATGATAATGCCCTCATAGGGGATGGGGGGTGGGATGGGAGGGTAGCAGGACCCACATCATTCTGGGCTTAGAACAATGAGATGTGTCTCGGTTAGCCTAAGGCCAGACATCCAGGACTCCATGTCAGACTCCAGACTACACAGGCAAGGACACCTACCACAGTAGGAAGGAGAGGTGTCTTCTGACTGAGGAAATCAAAGAGCTGGCATCTGAGCAAGCTTGGAGACACGGCCTGCAGAACAAGAGAAAGAATGCTGTGGCGTCCAAAACAACCCCGAATTTGTGGGCCCAGGAAGCAGGTGTATGGGCAGAAGTGCCTGAGGGATAGGGGATATTACCGAAAAGCAGTCTAAAATAGATTCACAGTCAAATCGCATAATGAGTCCAGGCTCCAGGTACGTAATAACAATAAATTAAAACAAAAAAGAGAAACAACCCAGAAAGATCTAGTCAGGATAAGTGGAATCTCTGTGAACCACACAAACCGAAGTGGTGAATGGGGAGCCATGCAGGCCTGCCGGGTGGGGGAGGTTCATTGAACTAGAGGAGAGAAAAATCTTTGCTGACGGGCTTCTTTTCTCTCTCAGGAGGGTAACTTGAATTTTCACTACATTAGACATCCTGGGAGAGGTTTCTGAGTGAAACTGACCTTAGGTTTGGGTTCTTTTACACCTGATAGTACATTGTTTTGTGCAATATTGCTCTGCGCGTCCTTTTTTAAGTCTGTAACTAAGTTTCCACCTCAGATTTCAGACAGCTGTGGTGATTCACAACATACCTCCTTACAAGGAAATTTTCTTGAGATTGTGAGTAATCTAGGGTCAGCATAATTCCTTTTGTGACTAATTAATCAGAGAGGAAATACAATCTACTGATGCAGCAGTCTTGGAGAAGGAATGGAATTTTCAGTAGAGTTCAATCCCCCTTATTCCTAATTTTCAGTCTGGGGTTTTATTCCTGTTGCAAAATGGCAGGGATCCGACTACAAGATTACTGGACCATAAGCCCCTCTCTTTGCTTATGTTACACCAGGAAGGCCAGAAGGGAGTCCGCTCTGTGGGAGGTCAGCCAACCGGGGAGGAGGGGCGAGGCCAAGGGTGAGGAGGCCAGGCAAGGTAGAGGCCTCACGTGGGCACCTGGTGTTCCAGGACCGAGCCTTTTTGAAAAATGAAAGCCCGGCGCAGCCTCCTCAGCGCGGCGCCTGGGGCGGGAGTTGCCGGGGAGTGGGGGGCAGGAAGGCAGAGGGCGCGCGGGCACGGTGGGGAGGCTCAGGCCCCCCGACTTCTCTGTTCAGGGCTGCGGCTGGAGGGCTGCGATCTCACTAGCGCAGAGCGATCTTCGGTCGCCCTAGAGCGGGCGGGCAGGCGGGGGAGCGCGGGGTCCGAGGCCGCCCCCCGCCTGGCTCTGGCTTTAAACCACCGGCGGGAGACGTCAGGGGAGCACGTGACCTGGCACCGCCCCCGGCCCGCCTCCCGGCTGCGGCCGCGCGCCCCGCTGGACTGCGCCTCCCGGAGGTCCGCAGTCACCCTGCGGGAACTATGGCCCGGCGGCCGGCGCGGGCCTGGGCCGTGCTTGGCCCCCTGCTCTGGGGCTGCGGGCTGGCGCTGCAGGGCGGGATGCTGTACCCCCGGGAGAGCCCGTCGCGGGAACGCAGGGAGCTCGACGGCCTGTGGCGCTTCCGCGCAGACTTCTCGGATAACCGGCGCCAGGGCTTCGAGCAGCAGTGGTACCGGGCGCCGCTGCGGGAGGTGCGGCCTCCGGGGGACCGGGCGCGGGCCTGGGCGGGGAGCCCCTGGAGGCCCGGTGGCGCGAGTGCGAGCCTCCCCGGCGTCCTCCGAGCCGCAGGCCTGGAGGTGGCTGAAAAGAAGGGGCGTGAGGCGGTGCCTGGCCGACCGGGAAAGCGGCGCAGGAAGTGGGCGGAGAGCTGGGGCCGGCACGCGGGGCTGCGGGAAGGGCCGCCGCTCTGGCCCCTGCTCCCGCCCCCCCGCGGGGGACTGAGCCTGGGCGCTGTCTGCGGCTGAGAGCGGCGGGTGGGTGGGTAGCTCTGGTCATTACGGGGCCGGCTCCACCCTGCAAGGAAGGACTTTGGTTGCGAAGTTCGGCTTAGAGGACCGCGCTTGGCCCCAGCCAGCCAACGACTCCACTGCAGGTCGCCCCTCTCTCTGTGGCCAGAGACCAGAAGAGGGGCTGAGGCAAATGGGTGCGCCCATCTGGCGGAGCTCTCCTAGGTGCCTTTGAGGTCTTTCCCGTCCAAGATTCCGCGGGCAAGTAAAGGGTCCCATCGCCAGCAAGTGCTCTAGTCAGTTTTCTCTAAAGCGGCCCCTGCCAGCCTTCCTGAAAGCTGCGGCAGCTGATCATCTTCCTCCAGTGTGCCTTTTTGTCCTCAGTCTGGGTTGTGGCTTGTGGCTTGTGGCTCACCCCTTCCATGCAGTCGCCGGTGCGCCCGGCATGAACTTCTGACCCTGCTAGCCCAGGAACACAAACCATCCTAGCAGTTGACCACTCCTCAGCAGCTCCGTGTCAGGACTGTTGCAAGAGGCGATACCGCTTGGTGGACGTTGGAAATTCCTGCCTCCTGGGAGAGAGGGGGTCGCAGGTCCCACATACAAGGAATGTTCCCCAGGCTGCTTGGGGGCTCACTGACCCACAGGCCCCACTCCTGCCTCACCTTTCACCTGACTAGTTCAAGAGTGTAGAGGTCCAAGGGGTTTTCTGAGGGGCTCAGGTATACGGAGTTCTGCCAGGGTGTCCTGAGAGTATCCCTTGGGCCCTGGCTCCCAAGGTAGTCCCTGCCACTCTCCACTCCATGCCGAGCTTTCTTTTTCAAAAAGCACCCATCACCTGACTTGTTCACTGTATTACTCCTAGCACCTAAAACGCTTCTGCGTTTTATTGAATGAGTGAATGACAGGTGTGCACTTCTTGGAGTTGTGAGAATTAAGTGAGCTCCTTAAAAGACATTGGTCAGTTGCTGCAAAGAGTAATAGTGATGGGGTGACCTGGAACCCCAGGGTCTGGGAGAAAGTCATCTTGTTCAGCCTTCTTCCTGTTGGCAGGGTTTCTGGGGGCCTGGTCTCTGGGAAAGTAGCTCCTGGGGCTGGGTCTTAAGAGTCCTCTGTAGTCTGGACCCGAGCCTGCCCTTTCTCCCCAGTCTGGCCCCACTCTGGATATGCCAGTTCCCTCCAGCTTCAATGATGTGGGCCAAGACAGGTATCTGCGCAGCTTTGTCGGCTGGGTGTGGTACGAACGGGAGGCAACCCTGCCCCTGCGATGGACCCAAGACCTGGACACAAGAGTGGTGCTAAGGATTGGCAGCGCTCACTACCATGCCATTGTGGTCAGTGCAGGGGAAAGTGGGTGGGGCTGGTGGGCGGGTGCTGCCCTGGGTGCCCGACTCCCACTGTTATTCCTCCCTGGTGAGGCAATGGGCAGGCCCTCAGCCCCCACGTACTGTGCTTCTCCATGAGGGGATGCCTGAGATGGCAGTGCCCCCTCCACATGCTCTGGCTTGCTGTTCCCTCCCTGTGTCTGCAGTGGGTGAATGGGGTTCATGTGGCAGAGCATGAAGGGGGCCATCTCCCCTTCGAGGCTGACATTAGCAAGCTAGTCCAGACTGGGCCGCTGTCCTCCTGCCGCATTACCATCGCCATCAACAACACACTCACCCCTCACACTCTGCCGCCAGGGACCATCCTCTACAAGAACGATAAAACAAAGTGAGCAGCACCCTGCTTCCCTCGCCTCCCCCGGTGGTCTCCCCATCAAGGGTAGGGCTGCCTTGGCAAAGGTGAGGCAAGGCATGAGCTGAGGCCACTGTTCCCCCACCCTAGGTACCCCAAGGGCTACTTTGTCCAGAACACAAACTTTGACTTCTTCAATTACGCGGGGCTGCATCGGCCTGTGCTCCTGTACACCACGCCCACCACCTATATTGATGACATCACCGTCAACACCGACATGGACCAAGACACTGGTAAGGGCTCTGGCAGGGCCTGCCCTCAGCCAGATCCAGCCCTCAGCCAGATCCAAGCGGCCTTGTTTCCCATTAGGAAAGATGCCCTAGCAAAAAGGCTTCCCCAGCATTTCTTAACCATCACCAGGCCCCATGTACCTAAGAAGCTAAATCCAGCCTGTCTGAGCTGGACTACCCACTTGGTGTACCCCTATTTTGTGAGGAAATGAGATCTATTGAGAGGTGGAGCTTGCTTGTCTTAATCACATAACTCAGGATGAATAGCGCGGAGTCCTGAAACTGTTCCTTCCCCACTGTGCTGCCCTCACTTATTCTCCTCTTGCTGCAGATTGAGCTCAGGAAATAAACTTGTCACTTGGGGTCTCTAGTGGCTACAGCGTGCTCGTAGCTCCCATCTGGACAACCCAGGTCACATCCTCCTCACCTCATCTGACCTCTCTTGTCTGCAGGATTAGTGAACTACCAGATTTCCGTCCAGGGGAGTGAACATTTCCAGCTAGAAGTGTGTCTTCTGGATGAGGAAGGCAAAGTCGTGGCCCAGGGGACAGGAGGCCGGGGCCAGCTGCAGGTGCCGAGTGCCCACCTCTGGTGGCCATACCTGATGCATGAGCACCCTGCCTACCTGTACTCATTGGAGGTAATGGTGGTTTGTTCTGGGGCTACCAGAGGCCCTGTGCCCCAAGCCAGTGGTCCTGGCATCAGCAGGGGCATAGGACAGGACAGGCAAGCATCATCCTCTGAGCTTCCTAGGCCATTGAGTTGATGTGTTTCCAGCCTGGTTTTTTTCAACCTTTGGTGGGGAGGCTATTTTGAAAAGCATCCCCTGGGGTCAGGGTGGGCAAATGGCAGACTCCCTACTTGCCATGGGCGGGCTGCTGTGGCATATGAGGGGCCTTCCTGCTGCAGGGTGGACAGTGTGGGGCTCCAGCCAGCAGGGATGCCTCCTGCCCTGTGCTTGGTGTTCCGTAGGTGAGGCTCACCGCACAGACAGCCGCTGGGCCTGTGTCTGACTTCTACACGCTCCCTGTGGGCATTCGCACTGTGGCTGTCACAGAGAGCCAGTTCCTCATCAACGGAAAGCCTTTTTATTTCCATGGGGTCAACAAGCATGAGGATGCAGACGTGAGTTGGGGCTGTTGGGTCCCTTGGATGCTCTTATCTTCCACAAACCCCTGAAGCGGCTGAGGGTAGATTAGAGCAGTTAAATTGCCTGGTAGGGCCTTTGCTTGGTCTGGTAGAGATCTAATGGGGAGACGTGCGGGGTCTGACTCTAGAAGTGCATCTCTGACAGGAATAGGGAAGGGGTCACTGCCTTCTGCCTCCTAGATCCGAGGGAAGGGCTTCGACTGGCCGCTGCTGATGAAGGACTTCAACCTGCTGCGCTGGCTTGGGGCCAACGCGTTCCGTACCAGCCACTACCCCTATGCTGAGGAGGTGATGCAGCTCTGTAACCGCTATGGGATCGTGGTCATTGATGAGAGCCCTGGTGTGGGCATTGTGCTGCCGTGAGTGCCCAGCACCTATAGCGCTCAGCTCACGCTGCTTGGCGGATCCTAAAGGATTCCCTTTCCCCCCTTCCTTCCCCTTGCCTTGCAGCCAGAGCTACAGCAACGTGTCCCTGCAGCACCACCTGGAGGTGATGGAGGAGCTGGTACGCAGGGACAAGAATCACCCAGCTGTTGTGATGTGGTCAGTGGCTAACGAGCCCACTTCCTACTTGCCACCTGCTGGTGAATACTTCAAGTGAGTGTCCCTGTCTCCCCCTGACTGGGTCAGAAGTGGGATCATCAGCCCCCCCAGCCTGGGTAGGACTTAGCTGGGAGAGCAGAGGTTGGCCCTGGGGTGGGCTTGTGCTGTGGTCAGCATCCCTCCCAGCCCAGACTCAAGGGTGCACCATACCTGGTGGGTTCAGAGGACAGAACGCTTTCCTAACCAAGCTGGTTCCAACCAGCATCTCCCTTTCATACCTGAAACAAAATCCAGTATTAACCTAAGTATTAACCTAAGTCCAGTATTAACGCACAACTTCAAATTTTTAAAAAGTAGTGATTGGCCTGCGATGTAAAGTCATTTCACACTAATGAATGGGCCTGACTAGAAGACCAAGCATAGGGTCAGACCTGCACCTAGAAGCGGAATCGCCCTGAGAGCACACCCTAAGAGCTGATGGGGGCAGCCACCTCAGCTTGCGTGGGCAGCCTTTCCGCCAGTGCTGCACGTTCCTGTGTGCACTGAAACCCGCTAGGTAAAGTTACAAACAAAACTGAGTATGATCTTCCCTCACTTTTTATGGTTTCACCATTCTTGGGAGATTTGGTTTGTGTGAAAACTCAAAAAACCACTTTGTGATGCTTCAGGTTTGGAGTTACACTTTATGGAATCGGCTTATCTCAGCACATAAACAGGTTTTCAATGGCTCGCATACTTTATTCTAAAGTTACTTGTTGTACAGAACTAAAGTTCATGGCCCCATTCACTAAATGCCGGTAACGCCCCTACCCCCACCCCCCTAGGGACCAGGACAGCAACACCACTTCAAGGTGGGGGACTCCCCTTATTGGGGGTATACTATCTCCGAGAGGCTGGCCACCTGGGGTGCTCCTGGGCTTCCTCTCTCTCTCACAGAAGCCGACAGGATTATTTCACATGCTGTAGACGCAATAGCCACATAGCACATCCCAGCTGGTGGAGCACTTTGAGCTGAGCCATTTCTGTTAAATACAGAAAGCTCTGCAGAGTGGAGGCCCCCACCCACACCCCAAGGCCAGCTCCCAAAACAAGACCCAGAGCCCATGGGGTGGAGATGTGGAACTGGGGCTGGTGGGCAGAATGTCTGTTGTGAGGCTGTAAGGAGTACAGGTTCTTAGGAACCGATGCCTGCGATTTCAGATGGGCTTTGGGGGGGAGGAGAGGGAGATGCAGATTTCTAGGGCTGCAGGGATGGGAAGGGTGTGGATAGAGCTGCCCAGACTGGAGGAGCAAATCTGGGCATGGAAGCTGCAGTTGAGAAGTAGTTTGAGACTATGGGTTAGGGGCTTGAGGGTGAGGGTTTCTGACCTGACGTGTAGAAACCACAGCCTTCTACTGATAAAAGCCCCGATGGAGATGGCGAGTGTGAGGGGGGGAGAAAAGGAGCTGTGAGGAAAGAGAAGGGAATGAGCCGGTGACTTGCTGGGAAGGCCTGCCTACACACTGGTCCCTGTCAGAAGCTTCTTCACACCTGCCCTCAGTTAGCACCATTCAGGGTGAACGCCATTTCTTGAGTCTGTCGCTGACTACCCTAGCTCGATTATATGCCGTTACTGTCTCAGAGCCCCGTGTTCCCCGCTTAGTAACCCGCCTTCACTTCTCACTGAAGTTTCTACCATTGATGCATGAAGCTCCATACGTAGCTGTTCATGTCTCTAGTGTGTGTCTGGTACTGGGCACATATTCCCTGTTAAATTAATAGCCCATCCTCATTCACACCCTTCCATTCCTATTTTCAAGTTTTTTCAGAGCCTCAGAGCCTAGTTTTTGGCAGTCCCTAGGACCTTTCCCCTGGTGTAAGACTTTGGGAGGGAGAAAGAATGACATTAGGGGACATGGCCTAAGGGCTAGAGGAACATTTCCTTACCTGAAATGCACTTCGAGGTAGGGCAGTGAGCGATGTCTTGTCTTGGTGGAAATGCGGGGAGGGGAAGGGATGAGCCGGGCATCCAGAGCCCTGCCTGGACTGACAGCACCTGTATCTTCTGCCCCCACCCCTGTGGATAGGACGCTGATTGCCCATACCAAAGCCTTGGACCCCTCCCGGCCTGTGACCTTTGTGACCAACTCCAACTATGAAGCAGACCTGGGGGTGAGCCTGGGGGTCTCCACACCACTTCTGTCTGTGCTCTAGTCCTGCCCTGATGCTTGCTAAAATGAACTGCTGGGAAGAAATGTTTACCCACCAGGCACCATGACTTCCTAAATCCAAGAAAGCAGGAAGGGGAAGATTTAATTCATTTTTAGCTCAGATTCAAATTTTTTACACCTCAATTTAACATGCTCATAAAATGGCAGCAGCTTAAAGACCTCACAGGTGCCTTAGCCCAGTGTTCCTCAAACCTGGTTGATTCTCACAATCCCTAAGGGAAGCTTTTTAAAACATAGATCTCTGGATTCTGGTTTAGTAAATTTAGGGCAGGAATATCAGTTTTAAAAAAGGTTCATTGATTCCACCATGACTGGCTTTGGGAACCACTGACTACAGCCAGCCCCTCTGCTGAGAATGGAAGGGACAGGCTCACTATCCAGCTGGACCACACAGCCTCCCTCACTGTTCCTGGCCACAACAGCTCCCTGAAACAGTTCAGTGGTACTGAAGCTAGAAGTGATGGTTACAAAAGAATTCTCCTTTCCTAGAGAATTGAAGGCTAGGTCTTCAAAGGAAAGTGCTACAGGGAGATTATCTAAGGGGAGGGTGGATGAGAAATGAATTGCTACAAATGTACAAATGTAAATTGTGAACACTGATTTTAACCTGAATGAAAAAAAAAATTTTTATCTTGCCATCTTTCAAGAACACACCTTCAAAGAACACAGTGTGGCACAAGGCTGGCTGTGGCATTCTTGGAAACTGGCTTCCTGTGCTAGTCCTGTGTGTGATCAGGAAAGCCTTTGCCTGGGTACCTGTGCCTGGGTTCTTTAGAAGGCTGCGGATTCACCTGGTGGGTGGTGAACTGTTTGTCCATCCAAAGGCACCTCTCTAACTTCTGCCTGCACCTTCCTGCCATAATTTAGGAAAAGACAGAACATATCAGGCCCAGTGCAGGCTTTGGAGATGCATCAGTTCAAGTGACACTAGATACCAGCTGGGCTGTCCAGTCTCTTTGTGCAGACCTGAGCTCTGTACCTCTTAGACTTATAGCCCTGCTCCTTCATCTCAGCAGTCCTTCCCATGGGGAATTTTCCAACCAGTTTCTGGCCCATAGCACCAGCTCATGGGGCAGCATGTTGAACCAAGATTCTTTGTAAGGAATCTTGTCCCTCAGTTGGGAATAATTCTCCAGGACAGAGAGGGGAGATAGGTGGGGAAGCATTGCCCAGGAAGAATAAAAACCAATCTAGTTAGAACCTGGGCTTTTGCCGAAGCCAGCTCATCGGGCATCTGCTTGGTCTGAGCTCACAGTGCCCAGCCTGCAGCTAGGGGGACGTCAGGTGAGTTATGGACTTGCCCCATCCAGGTCACTTCTCAGCAGCGCATGTGAGCATTTAAATCACTTCCTGCATCTCCCATTTTGTATGCCAAAACTAGTCCTGACTATTCTACAATCTGGTTTTTTGAACTAGCTCTACTGTTCTTGTTCCAGGCACCATATGTGGACGTCATCTGCGTGAACAGTTACTACTCCTGGTATCATGACTATGGGCACCTAGAGGTGATTCAGCTGCAACTGGCAGCCCAGTTTGAGAACTGGTATAAAACCTATCAGAAGCCAATCATTCAGAGCGAGTACGGAGCAGATGCCATTGCAGGATTTCACCAGGTAAGTAGTGAATGGACAGTGATACTGCTCATTGCCCAGAGCTAAAAACATCCTTCCCCGTGTCTTGTACTGATCACAGCCTGCCCACTGCACTTGCAGCTGCCCACGACTCAGGTCTCTGCCCTGTGTGGCCCCCAGAGCAGTCTCCTACTAGCCGCCTAACAGGTCTTCTAACTTGTCTACACCCAGGGCCTTTTGTCACTGGCTTCCCCTGGCTCTGAAGGCAGTTGCCATCCTTCGCTCACTCCTTTCTCAGGTCTTTGTCCTCTGCCTTCACCTATGCACACTGCACTCTTCACTCTGCTCATTGGCCTGGGTTCCGCCTAGAACTCACTATAGTCACCAACTAAATGGACTCTTATTCTGTGTTCATGTCCCTGTGGTGTACCCCACTTGCTGCAGGTGGAGTAAAGTTTCCTCTGCTCAGTCTCCATAGCATTTCTCACCGGGTACTATCATGTCTTTGGCACTCCTTAGTCTGACCATGGGCATCATGCAAGAGACTTCTGTTATTTACTGTTGCTTTGGTGGGCTCGTTTTTGAAATTTAAGGATGTGGGATTTCAGCCACTTAGGAGAGAACAAAACCCTGTTGGCTGTGACTTTCTTTTTCCAACAGGAAAGATTAAAATGCTGTGTAATAGGATGCACTGAAAATAGAATGAAAACCTGTTAATTCGGGCAGTTTATTTTTCCTGTTCTGAAGGTGAATTTGACTGCAGGGCAAGATGTAGATTTCCTTTGTTTTAATGGAAGTGATGTTGCATTGTCTAATCCTAGCCACAGTGGCTATTTCAATTTAAAACTGGATTATGCTTCATCACTCCAGGCACACCAGTAGCATGTGTTGTCCCAATCTCCATGTGAGGCTGGTGCCTCCCGTGTGGACGGCGCAGGTGCAGGCATGCCGCATCTTACTGCGCTTTGCTGTGCTGTGCTGTGCGTATACTTAGATTTTTACAAACTGAAAATTTGTAGAAAAAGTTCACAACTTGCTGAAAGCTCAGATGACAGTACTCTTTAGCAATAATGTGTTTTAAAATTATGGTGTGTATGTGTGTATAATGCTACTGCATTGCCCACAGTGTAAACTGCAGTGTAGTGGAAACACAACTTTCGCATGCACTGGGAAGCCTGGACATGCGTGGAACACACTTCATGTCAACGTTCACTTTATTGCGGTGTTGTGGAACGGACCCACGGTAACTGAGATGGGCCACGGAACATTTCCGTCGCTGCAAAGGGTTCTAGACTGTGGCCTGGGCTCTCAGTTTCTGAAAAGGCACACAGCAGGCACTAAATATTTGTTTTAGGAATGGGTGAAATCTTGGAGCAAGGTTTAATCACTAGCTTTCTCATTGCTTGATTCATCTTTTCGCCAAAGATATGCTGCTTTGTCTTGTGGGGATTTTTTTCATGTGGCTTCTTGACGCTCAGCCTCTCAACCTGCCCCAGCCACCTCACACTTACCTGTCACACTGCTGGGATTCCCAGAGGAAACACTTAATATGCTTCTCCTTGCTATGCTGAGCAGCTACCCACTGCTGTGAACAGGTAAAATGGGGGAAACATGAAGACTATATATGCAAAATTGTTCTCGCTCTTTGAGTGGTAGCCAGCTGAACTTTTCAGAAAATGAGAACCCAGGCCACAGTCATAGAACCCTTTGCAGTGATGGAAATGTTCTGTGGCCCATCTCAGTTACCATGGGTCCATTGCACAACACCGCAATAAAGTGAACGTTGACATGAAGTGTGTCCCATGCATGTCCTGGTTTCCCAGTGCAGCCTACACTGTGGGCAATGCAGTAGCATTATACATACACACCTTGATTTAAAAAAAAAAAAACAAAAAAAAAACACATTATTGCTAAAAAAATACTGTCATCTGAAAAGGAAAAATACCGGATGGTTTCACTCATACCAGGAGTATAAAGGACCAGGGGAGAAAATAATAGTAATAATGAACAACTATATACCAGAGACATTTTACGGGGGTAGGGTGGGGAATGGGATCAAAAACGGTGGAGGGAGGGAAGTGCATGGACTATGGTGATGGCACCCAGGTGATTTGGTGATGGGAAGCCCAGGGGATTACAACTGAGATGGGAAAAGGCACAAAATGATTTTAAAATAAACTAATATATTATTAAAACACACACACAAAGGAAATCTACTTCTTGCCCTGCAGTCCAATTTACTTTCAGAACTGGAAAAAAAACCTGCCTGAATTACAGGTTTTCGTTCTATTTTCAGTTCATCCTATTATACAGCATTTTAATCCTTCCTATTGGAAAAGAAAGTCACAGCCAACAGGTTTTTTAAAAGTGACTTAAGGCCCTCCCCGGTGGTGCAGCAGGTTAAAGCACAGCACTGAGAATCTAAAGCCGCTTCCTCATGAGTTCGATTCCCGCCTGCCCCGGAGGTGACCACATGGCGTGGCAGACCTCTCCTGACCCGCCCGCTGCTCCCCTCAGCAGTGTATTTCGTTGATCTGCCTGTTCTGCACTCCACTCTGTCTCTGGTGAATTCTCTCACCCTCCACATCTCTGGCTTGTATCCCAGTTCTGTATGCACAAATAAAATAAAATCTTTAAAAAAAAAAAAAAAAAGTGACTTAAATCCCACATCCTTAAACTTCTCAGACTTGAGCCCAGCAAAGTAAGATAAGCACAGAAGACTCTGTATCCAAGAATATCTAAAAGATCATTGACTCTTAGTGTGTGACACACACCTCTTCACCAAATGAGTGTGCCGACATGGCCTTCTCCTCAGCTGGCAGTCCCAGCAGTTTCCTCAGGCAGCTTGCTGTGCACCCCAGTCTGTTAGCTTCCCTGCGCAAACCCCCTCTAGCTCTTGCCCTGCACTCATCCTCAACATCACACTTTTTGTCTTTCTTACTAGACTGTAAAACTTGTGAGGGCAAGGACACTCTGCTTTTTTATTTATCACTGTATCTACAGTGCCATAGAAGAGATACTAAATAATTATTTGTTGAAGGGATGAATGTGCTAAAAAGCTGTTTCTTACCCAGATCTGGTAAAAAGGAATCCGAGTCTCACTATTTTCACTGGCAATTATATTTAAAACTTGAATTTTAAATATATTATGCAAAGATGCAATTTTACTTCCAGTGTAGTTCAACTTTAAGATTGGTCTAGTGAGTAGAGATGGAAAAGTAAAGCAAATATCAAAATTATGTTTATAAATAAAGCAGTCACTAATTAAGGTCTTTTATAAAATCCTTTTTGCTCTATACTACGTCATATCCTGGCTGTCTTTGTACCAGCACCAGCAAGTCTTACAGCCACTGCTGCCCACCAAGGACAGATATTTTGGTCATCATCATGTGGATCTTTATTTTTATCTAACCTTTACAATTTTGACAGTCCTGACTATTAAACTATCTCTTTCCTTGAATTCCAGGATCCACCTCTGATGTTCAGTGAAGAGTACCAGAAAAATGTGCTACAACAATATCATTTGGTCCTGGATCAAAAACGTAAAGAATATGTGGTTGGAGAGCTCATCTGGAATTTTGCAGATTTTATGACTGACCAGGGTAAGTAGCAGTGGTTTCCGAAACCAGCATTTCTGATAATTTAAAATTAGCTTTTCAGTTCTGGAGATTTGGTTGCAAGAATACTAGATATAAGATGGGGGTAGGGGTGGGAAGTTGACTCAGTCAATGCTACATAACTTCCTAGGATTAAGTTGCATTTAGCAAACAATAATCAAAACTGCCTGCTTCCCAAGTTTTGTTATTATTATTTTTTTAAATTTATCTTTGTGTAGAAGAACTGGGGTGTAGGCCAGAGGTGCAGAGGGTGAGAGGACTCACCAGAGACAACAGTGGGGAGCAGAATAGGCGGATCTACTGAAACACACTGCTGAGGGGAGCAGTAGGCAAGACACTCCTGTCTGCTGTGCCATGTGGGTCACTTCCCTGGTGGGGATTAAATTCATACTGTGGTGGCTACAGATAACTTCACAGTGCTGCACTTAACCTGTTGTGCCATCAGGTAGGGATTCTAACAAATGAAGTGTTTGTCCAGTGACTGGCATTTATTGTGGAAAAAATTACCCATTGTCTTGAACTTCTTGGTAGGAAAGACCTATTTTCCATGAGTAGTAGCCATCGTCTCATTAGGGGAGGAGAGAATGTACCCTAGGAGAAGCTGTCACAGCTGTGCCAGCTTTGCTCACTCCTGGCTGCAGCTTCTGGCAGACCAGCCAGCAGCTGTGGGGACCCAGCCAGCAGTCTACCAGGAGGGCTTTGAAATCCCTCCCAGGTGGGGCAGGAGGTTAAATAAAATGCAGCACTAGGAGGCTAGCCACAGTTGCCTCAGCATAAGTTCTAGCCACAGCCTCAGAGGTGACCCACATGGCGCGGCAGACCTCTCCTGACCCGCCCAGTGCTCCCCTCAGCAGTGTACTTTGGCAATCTGCCTGTTCTGCTCCCTACTCTCTCTGGTGAATCCTCTCTGCCCCTCCACCTCTGGCCTGTACCCCCGCTCTGTATCATAAATAAATAAATAAAACTTAAAAAGAAAGAAAGAAAGAAATCTACTAGTAGATCCCACCTGGGCACCCACAACTGGTTGGGATTCTAGCTCCTAACAACAGAGTTGTTTCTCCAGAAAGATGAAATCTTTTCAGGGCCACTATAATGTTTTAAACCTTATTCTACAAGTTAAAATTTTAGGTATTTTCCCTGCTACCATTCAAAAAACGAACACACTGGGGACTGAGATGTTCTGGGAGTGACAGTATTAATCTTTAACCGATTAGGTGGCCACTTCATATACCAAGTAAGCCTGAACTGTATTAAGACGTTTCTGAGTATTGCACAGCTTGGTTGGCTCCAGATTGGTTGCAATTTGGCCCACCAGAACTCATCTGAAACACTTGTGCCTTGTTTCTAGGACCAACAAGAGTATTGGGAAACAAAAAGGGAATCTTCACTCGTCAGAGACAACCAAAAAGTGCAGCATTCCTTTTGCGAGAGAGATACTGGAAACTTGCCAATGAAACCATGTACCAGTCAGCTGCCAGGTCATGGTGTTTGGAAAACCACCCATTTACATTTTAGAACAGAATCCATCTCTGTACTGAAGAGAGACTAAACACCCCACCCTCCCCAAGGGGTGATTCCACAGCAGCTTCACAAAGTTTCTGTTCTGGATTTTGTAGTCTTCTGACAGATGGGTAACACTGAGGTGAAAATTAAAAGCATTTATAGTATGGAAATAAAGAGTTGATATAAAAGTGACCATCCATTAATTGAATGACCTGTGTTGCTGAAAAACATCTGAAATTGTTTGTGTACTGGCTGTCTTCATAGCCTTACCTGCACAAGAGCCAGGAAACCTGACTAACATTCACATCACATGCAGGGTTGCTGCTCCCAGGCCATGTGCACCCACAGGAGCAGCTCCACGGCTCTGGCCGTCTTGCTTGCATTCCAAACCAGGCCAACCTTTTCTGAGAGAGCAAAAGACAACTGCTGTTAAACTGCCCAGATGAGCATAAGTCCCAACAAATTTAGAGAAAATGGTACCACGCCAGATAAGCAAGGTCTACAGTTTCCACATAGCTGATAACTAAGCAGTAACAATTAAGAGTGAATTGTAAGGGATCTTAGAGGTTGCATTCTTCTAGGACACTGTTCCAACTTCAACTAGAGACTAGTCTTGACAGGAATAAACAGGTAAGCAAAAAGCTCAGTGGCCCCATCACAGCTGACTCCATTCAGTATGACACCTTTTTAAGCTGGGCTGGGAGTGCTTCAGGCCTCGTACCTCTGGGCACTGCTCCCAAAGGATGGTCTTTTCTTACAGAAGCTTTCCTTTCTTCATAGGCTCCAATAAAGTAACTAAGCTACATGATTCCCAGGATCTCACTATTCATTAATCCTGATTTAAAGCTGAATGCTTTGGAAAAATACTTCTTTCAGTATCCAATGAAATGGAAGACCACAAGCCAATAGTTTTCATATAGAACTTGATTCACTTCACTTGTGGTTATCACATATACATACATACATGCCCATCAGTCTTCCTTTCCAAAACCCAGGAAACAGTACTGATACATTAAACTCATTTTAGTGGGTATTTTTGGACTACTTAAATAAGAATGTACTCAAGATTTCCAGTGGTTCTGTATTTCTTGTTACCACTAAACTTTAATAAGAGACTTCTAGAGTCTCATATTAAGTTCTGTGTTACAGCTTAATGTCAAAGAATAATATCAAAAAGTCTACTTGATAAAATGTTTGAGATAAGGTTCATTTGTTACATATTAAGGTACAGAACACATTTGTTTTATGCAATTAAATATTTCAAATGGACTCATCTCTCTTGAATATATTACCTTTCTCTAAGGCTGTATGGGAAAAACAGCTGATTATACATTCTGTGTGCTTATAGACCTGTAAGCAGTAACACCTTTTGTTAATTTTTGACATTTTCAAACTCACCAACTCCAGAATCTCTCTGGATCCTGTTTGTGTCTTCTACAAGTTTATAAAGATAAAAGTAATTATACCTGTAGAAAAAAAAAAGCAAGTATACCTGTAGAAACAAGGTCCTCTTTTTTGAAATGCACAATTGCTGAAGAAGAATGACGGCAGCACAACTTCCACAGGTAACTTCTACATTTATTTTATACCAAAAAAGTTATGTGCAACAAATAAACATTCTTACATATTTACATTGTTTTTACCAGTTAGCAAAACTGTGTCCTAAATCTCTGATAAAGAATATTTCTATCTATATTAAAGGGGAAATCTGCCCAGTGAACTCCATTTTGAATGAATGTTTACTCTGGAGCTTAAAGCACTAGTAATAAATATTTTTGATGGAACATACTGTACAGATCATACACCTAATACTTAGGTCATGCTTAACATAGTTTTATAACAAAACATTTCATCTTTTCTGGGCTAATTTGTGAAAAAGGTTGAACCAAGTAGCCTGGACTCCCACCCCTGCCCCATTTGTTTTATTGAAGGGTAGTTCTCACAAATTAGTAATCATAAGTGCTGCCTAAAATGTCTAAATAGAAATGTTTCACCAGTGCATGTGCTGGGAGAAACACGAGGACAAAGGCTCATGTTAGGTGCTCCTCCCCAAGTCGATCACCACATGGGGTAGTGGCTTCTTGTTGGCCGATATCTAATACTGATTTTCAAGACAAGAGCTCCTGTCAGCGTTCACTGGTTTCACACAGTGGCACCAATCTTAAGATATGAAGTAACTGCTGAAGGTAACCTTGCACTTTTGCTGGTCATCTTAAAACTAAATGTCGAAATACAAGCCAACAGATAGTTTTAACTGTAGTCTTGGTCCTCTGTCCTACTTAGTAGGTCCAAAGATCTTTTGTGCCAAGATTCAGATCTTTGTTTGTATGAAAACGATCGATGAATTCAACATTCTTTAGAAGTAATGGATGTAAGGAGAGGCTTCACACATCAAGTAAAAGTAATTCCTGGCACACAGCTAGTTAAACCTGAGTTATTTCACAGAAGTCCACCCTCACAACTAGCTGCAATAAAACCATCTAGGTTCCCTAGAATTTATCATCTAACCACAACCCATTTCTTTAAATGACATTTATGACTATCAAGTAGAAGTTTCATTTGTTATAAATTATTTCAAAAACAATAAGCATGTAACTACTGCTAAAAACAGAAATTCAATTTTTTCCTTAAAACAGTTCAATTTTGATGGCAAGTATAGTGTTGTTTAAATATCCGATCTAAAATAGGTTATTCAAATTTTATAACCCATGTTTTTTCTCCCTCTTCTGGAATGGAATAGAGGATGCAAAGGAGAATCTTAAATTCTTCCAGGGCAAAAATACCAAATAACACCCACTGGGGTTCTGTTGCTTACTAAGATACTGGCGTTACAATGCTGTTATTTCAGGCAGCACATGTTCACTGCTCAGTGAGAAAAAGGTTATGAATTCTGGGGTCACAGGAATGTGACAATTTTTTTATACTACTAAAACTGGTGTTTTCTGCAAGGCTTATTTAGGAAAGCAAAAGAAAAAGTTGGTCTTTTACATCTTCTTATGTAAAAGTTGAAGTCACTGAAACATCAAGACAAGCTTTAACTATACTCTGCTGCTGAATGATACAAAAGATGAAAAACCGTTTTAAATTAGGACACAAGGAACTTGTTTAGCACAACCGGTGTTACATATACCACAGAAGTCTTAGCCGTTAAGCCATTTCCACTCTATCTTAGAAAAGAGAAGCAGTAAACTGCTTGTTAGAACTACAAGCACTGCTGTAAGATGACTTCATTGTTTCTCCACAAACACCAGACATCTAATCAATGCTTCACTTTTAACTGTAGAAACAAGAACAGTACATACAAAATAAAACAGGCATTGAAATATTCACATTCATGGGAAAACAAACCTTGATGAAATCTGAATTAAGCTATCTTTTACAAAGCTGGTTAAAAGTTCATTACAATTCAGACTTTATATCTGCCTTGGGGCCAGAAGAATACATTGCGTCAATTATGACAGTTGAAAACTGCTGAACAGTTGCTGACTGGACACATTATGGTTTACAGAGCAAAGCCTGTCCCCTCCTTTCAAAAAGAATGCAAATAAAACACTCAGAAGTTACAAGTCTATTTTTAACATAATGATTAAGCAAACTGTAAGCAAGACATTGCTACTACTTCTCGATACTACTTCTCCATCTAAGGAATGAAATGACCATATAGAACCTTTCTGCAGAATGCAAGTTTTCTACTTTGTGGTAAGAAAGGAAGGAAGGACACTTCTGCCCAAGTTCAACACACAAAATATTTGGTTTGATATTTAAGACAGAAGGCACTTTTAACATTCTGTTATAAGATGTTAACCACAGGAACATACTGTTACAACTTCATTTGGGTTTACTCAAATCACTTAAAAATTCTGCACTTCGGTAGTTTTTAGAAAGAGTAGTGAAAACATTTAGTGAATTTCACCTCCAGATAGTTCTAACTATAGTATTCCTCCCAACTAGGCAAACTGAGCAGCATTTTAGCCCTAAAGTTTAGAAAGTCAATGTTTCACCCTAAAACAAACGACATTCTATTAGTGCAGAAAGAAATATGGGAAACACTACAGAACTACCCAAAGAACAAACCTACTCTGGAGCAACTGGGCTTACACTAGTTATTTCAAAGTCATAATACTGTTTGGTTGACTGGCACCAATATCATGGAAAAATATCTGCATGAAATTTCAATTGTAAGACTTTTCTTTAAAAATGCCATATTAATATTTCCAGCTTTTCTCCAAAGAAATCTCATTTCCCCATCTTTAGTGTTCTGAAGGCCTTGGACGTGAAGGTCTGGTCACATGACTCATTCTGTAAGGTTATAATTGATCCAGTTTTATGACTAGGCACAAGCTTGACTTGAATGTCCAAATTTAGTTTCTTCCTTTCAGAGGAAGGAGATGAAAGCGAACCAACCGCCCCATTATTTTTGCTGTCAATGCTGGACCCACAGCTGTCAGTGCTTTTCACAAGATGCTCTCTATGGACTGACTATTTTCACTATTCCTTCAGCCAGCGCTCAGCTGACAATTCTTCATTGCTACACTTCAACTAAACTGTACAGTTAAGTTCTGCAGGGATGGATCCAATATTTCTACCTTTATTTACAAATATCACATAAGTGGGTTCTAGTTGAATCTACATATTTAAATCCATTGGCTAAAAACATATTACATATTGTAAACATGGCAATATTTAATACAGTATCTATTCTAAAATATTTTTATGTCATGATCACATTTGTTATACCTGAAATTTAATTTATACACATTAGAGAATTACTAGCAATGGTTGCTCACTTTACAATTGAGGGCAGGGGGCTAGGGATACATTTTATTATTTCAGAAACATCCTCAAAGTAAAGTTAAAGCTTGTCTTTGATTGGCTCGGTGTATCCTCTTTTTTTTGTATCCATATTTAAAATGAAGATTGACACAGAAAATAGCTAGGGCCCCTTCTAATTTACAGGATTAAAAAAAATCAGTTTAAGATACTTAGGGAAGTGTCTGTTTTGAATAATAAAAAAAAAAACTGCTGCAAAATAAACTTAATGGAAAAGGGACTTCAGACTGTCAGTTAAGAGTTTGTCAGGTTGTCAGTCCTGCTTGGGCTGCAGTTGCCGTTTCCAGGCTTCGTTCAAGTAAACTAGTCGTTTGTAGTTGATGATTAGAAGAATGAAGTTCAGCACGTATGTGAAGACACAGATGATGCAAAATTCCTTCAGCACAAAGTACAGAATGTAGGCCAGGTACAAAGAGCCTACCACAGACACAATGGAGGACGTCATGAGGATTAAAGCTGCAACTGCACTTGCTGTCATGCCTGCAAGAAAAAGAGACACTTGGATCAATCAAACCCTGACAATGAAGAAAAAGTATCTGAGCTGAAAGGTAACATCTTGATTTGCTGCAGTGCTAGAATACCCATCTTACTGTAGAACACTGCAAGTGGGAACAATTGGTCTCTTTTGTTAAGGTTTGCGGGCCGGCTCTGCAAATAGGATACCGATTTTATAACTCCAATATTTCTAATCTGTCAGTAATTCTAGGTACTATCACTTACTTCATGAACTAGCTTTAGTTAAGACATGCAAAGAAAATATGCAATTTTGTAATCACTTTGCAATGAGGCTGCTTTGCAAAACTGGTAGCTTTCTTTGCTAACGAATAAAAGAATGTGAGGACCAAAACCAGAGACTACCCGGTGAGATCCTCTCTCCTGCCCTTTCATTATTGGTTCCCCATCTGTGAAAAATAAAATCTGTTTCCCACGTTTAGATCAAACTGATCAAAAGTCACAATGGGAGGTGATTACACCAATAAGATGCCAAAGGACAAAACCTACGATAAACATTTCAGCAAAGTCTCACCTGGAGGATACAGGAAACATGTGACCAGTAGGTCACGTGGATCAAACCAGACTGAGAAAAAAGGCAGTTATGCCTGCTAAGTAAGGCTTCTGAGACTTTTATAAAAACCTGCCCAAATTTTTTGACTGACATCTTCACATGTATTGTTTTGTAATTTCCTGCAGCCAACACACATTTATTTTTAAGGATGAGGAGACAACAGAGTATATATTAAACTACCCTTCTACTCAACAACTATGTATAAGGATAAGAAAAAGGAAAAATAGGAACAGGTGGTAGGGGGTTTGAAGAGGTTAATTAAGGAGTTGAAATCCCTGCTGTTTGTGGGCTGCAGCCTAGCCTAGCATTCAAAACAGGTAAGAAATCATTGGATTATTTAAGCCAATCTGATGAGTCACTTGCTTTTTAAATAAAGATGTACTGGAATCAGCCACACTAAGGCATTTATGGAATGTCTGTGGCTACTTTCTCATAAAAATGGCAGAGCTAAGTATTTGTGACAGCCAGCAAAGCCTAAGTAATCTGCTGAACACCTTACAACTCAAACGTTCAAACTTTATCTTACAAAGTTTCAAATTATACGGACAAGTGTTTACTGTCTCTTGCCTCTCTTTTCTTTAAACATCAAATTGGAATAATGATCATTACTACCCCATAAGGCAAATTACAGAGTAAATGTGTTAATAGATATAAAGCACTTAAAATGTTTCCTAATAAATATCAGGAATACTATTTGTTCCAACCCTGTCCTTCTATAAGGTAAGTGGTTGCTTGGGATAACATTCCCAGTGGAATTTAAAGTGTACTGATAAAATGATGGTACAGTCAAGTAATGAACTTTGACAACAAAAACAGAAGAGTAAAGATACTTAATGGAAAGATTACCAACATATATTAGTCAAGTTTTTAAAAAAGGGGGAACAGTAACCTTTAGAACAATGTATAGTAACTGCCTTTTCTGCTTAAGAAAATTAAGATACTTGTATTTTCTTGTATACCACTAAAGGAAATCTATAAGAAGCTACTAGTCAGGGATGAGAGGCGATGAGAAGTGGACAGAGGGGGACAAAAGTAGGATAGCATCTGAAATTTTTAAAAGTTTAAACAGTCTAACCTAAAGAAAAATTATATTAAGAATGATACCTCAAACTTAGAAGGGAGTGAAGATGATGTACCTTGAAAAACTATGCTAGGTTAAGTTCAAATGTGTCACCAGTCATAAAGACAATGACATAAAAAGTGAATGTGAAAGGAAAAAAAAAATACTATTATACACATCATTAAAATATGTATATGATAAAATCACAAAATTAAATATTATAAATCAAAATGTATTCTATTACTATCTCCAAAAATTAACAAATCTTTATTCTTACTCTTAATTGGGCTAATAGTTTATATTCTTTAGAACTCCAAACAAGACCAATAAATGGAAAACAGTAAAAGTCTCACCCCTAGTCACCAACCACCCTCTTCTATGCTCTGTGTGTGTATATAAACATAAATTTAACTTTAACTCATACCCATTACACCACAATTTCTTTATTACTATGTCTTGGTGTTTCAGGATAAATATATAGACCTACTTTTTCCTCTAATGGTTATACAATATTTTCTAGTATGGATGTAACCTAATTTACTGAACCATTACATTTTACTAAGCTTTTTTTTGCTATTTTAAACTGTATTTCTATGAGTAGCCTTGTGCATATCTCTATAGTCTTCAAGATAAATATACAGAGAGATGGATTTGGGGATACCTGATAGGACTACTGAAAAAGATTTAGATTCACAATTGCCTCCTACAAGTCAATTTCATGTAAACAGAAGAGCTGGTAGATAATAATGGGATAAAATATAACAATTGAAATACAAGGGTAATGCATGTAATACTTGAATTATAACAATTCTTATACAATCCAAACTTACCAAAGTAAAAAAAAAAAAAAAAAGTGGGTAATATGTAATACATATGAAGCAGATTATCTGGATCCCAGTAACTTAATTTGAGAAAATAAAAGGAAAGTAGGGGCCTCCCTGGTGGCACAAAGGGTTAAAGTGCAGCACTAAGACGCCGTCTGCAATCACTGCAGCACAAGTTCGATCCCCAGCCAGGGAGCTGACCCACATGGTGCAGCAGACCTCTCCTGTCTCGACTGCTGCTCCTCTCAGTAGTGTATTTCTTCTTTTTTTAAAAAAAAATCTGTATAATTATTTATTTATTTAAAAGTATAATAGTTTATTTTTAGATCATTTTGTGCATTTTTCCATCTCAGTTGTAATTCCCATGGGCTCCCCATCACCAAATCACCCATGCACCATCACCATAGTCCAGTTCAGCAGTGTATTTCAATCAACCTACCTGTTCTGCTCCCCACTCTCTCTGGTGAATCTTCTCACCCCCCTTGCACCTCTGGCCTATATCCCAGTCCTTGTATGCATAAATAAATCAATCTTTAAGAAAAAAAAATTTAATGGCTACTAGTATGTAACTTACAGAAAATACTTTTACAAAAGTAAAAGTTTAAGGCAAACCTGACAATTGAGGGAAAAGCAACTTGATAAATAAAAAATACCTATGTTTTCTCACTTACTGTTATTTTATGCCTAGAAATTTATTTTGGAATTATTGTTTCTATTGAAATAATTCAGAGAAAAGGGTCTGTGCAAGGGATACTACTGATATAAATAAAGTTGATCACAGTGTTGTTTAAAACAGAACATTTAGGGCCCTCCCTGGTGGCACAATGGATTAAACCACAGCACTATGAAACGGTCCACAGCCACTATAGCACAAGTTAGATCCCTAGGAAGAGGTGACCCACATGGTGCAGCAGACCTCTCCTGTCTCACCCACTGCTTCCGTCACAGTGTATTTCAGTAGATCTGCCTGTTCTGCTCCTCATCTGTCTCCGGTGAATCCTCTCACCCCCACACCTCTGACTTGTACCCCAGTTCTTGTATGATAAATAAGTAAATCTTTTAAAAAATATATAGAACATTTGAAATCTTGAACTTCATAGTAAGAAATTAAGGGAAATAAGCTTTCAAAGAAGCACACTTGGAATAATAACTTCCCTGTGTGGAACTGTTTTTTGGGCATCATGTGATACTGCTACAGATACCACATTCAGCATCAATACCATCAAAACTTTAATGAACCAAGTTTCATAATACAAAAACTCACTACAAATTAGTGTAGTTCTAACAATAATATATGCTTTTATTTAATGTAAAGATGCACTTCAGGGTAAAGACATAAGAACTAAAAAGAATATAACAAATCATTTATTTTTGTGTAACACTTACCGAGCAATAACTGTAGTATATAAAATATAAGTCCAAAGACACTGTTTTGCTGGTTTAATACACCATCCTTGTGTAACACTTACCGAGCAATAATTGTAGTATATAAAATATAAGTCCAAAGACACTGTTTGGCTGGTTTAATACACCATCCTTGTGTAACACTTACCGAGCAATAACTGTAGTATATAAAATATAAGTCCAAAGACACTGTTTGGCTGGTTTAATACACCATCCTTTCCAAAAATGGAACCCAGAAGACCAAATCCTCGACCCCATCTGTAAAATAAGAAAAACCAGAAATGCTGTTTTGTTAAAAGAATAAAATCTGAGAATGTCATGCCAACATACTCCTCCAAATCTCAAAGTTGCCAATTTCTATGTTCTCTTTCCCAAAAGCTCTAGGACAAAGAACCCTCTAGTATTTGCAGAGCAAGAGCTTCCTCAATTAAAACAGGGTCTCTAAGCAACACCACTGTGTTAAAAAAAGTGTTAAATAATTCTTTGTAATGGGGAGCTGTTCAGCGTATTACAGGGCTTTTGCATTATCTATGGCCTCTACCTACTAGATGCAGGATCACCACCCTTCACCCTCTAGGACAAAAATACCCCCAGTTAAAAGCTATTGATACATGCTGTTCTATTTCCTCAAAATGTGTAGACTGAATCATTGCTTCCTGACACATTTCACCAGAAAATACATGCTAAACACATCTTTAAATGTAAGACAAACCAGAAATTGCAGCTCTTTCCTGGAATCCTATCTCAAAAATAATTGATGCATTATATGTCCCATCAGTTATTTTCAATTTAAGTTCAAAATTTGCATTTGACTTAGCATTTTCACTATAAATTATTAAATGTGACAAAATCTGATACAAATATCAATTAAAATTTATTTGAGTAAAATCTTGAAGATAGCTTTAACTCTGCAGAGAGGCACTTAATGAATCCTGACTCGTAGTTCTGGAGACAGACTACTTGAAAACAAGGACAAGTAAATAAATCTTTATTAGTCACATTATCTTACTAGTAGTACAAGTGTTCAAGGCAGAGTGAAATCTCTTTAGAATGATGATACTAGGATATAAAAATAAATCCACTTTGCAAGCAAAAGCCATTAAGATTTTTATTGTACAATTACATACTTGAAGGAACACAAATTTCCACCATATTCTTGTATTCATTCACACTTGAAATCCTTATTGAGCATGTTCTAGGTGCAGATAATGGGTCAGGTGATGGGCTCCAGGGTAAGTCAGGTAAGGTGGGCCCTTGAGGAGCTCATACTTCATTTAAGAAGTAATTACAACTCATAAATGAATAAGTTACCAACAGAAAAATACTGACTTATTGATAGATTCACAGGAAAACTGAAGAGGGAGGTCATTATAGACCAGAGCTTCTGAAAATTTAAAAGCACAATCACCAAAGAGGAGCTCCAGTGGCGCAATCGGTTAGCGCGCAGTACCTGTACAATCAGCAAAGGATCTTACTAAAATGCAAATTTTACTTCCACTAGGTCTGTGGTGGGGCCAAAGACTGTATTTTTTTTCTTTAAGATTTATTTATTCATACAGAACTGGGGTACAGGCCAGAGATGCAGAGGGTGAGAGGATTCACCATACAGAGCGGGGAGCAGAACAGGCAGATCTACTGAAACACACTGCTGAGGGGAGCAGTAGGCAGGTCAGGAGAGGTCTGCCACGCCATGTGGATCTCCTCTGGGGCAGGCGGGAATCGAACTCATGCAAAAGTGGCTTAAGCTTCTTAGTGCTGTGCTTTAACCCACTGTGCCACCAGAGAGGGCCCCAAAGACTGCATTTTCAAGCTAAAACAGTGCTCCTAGGTGATGCTTTAGTGTTTAAATTTGTATTATACCATCTAGGTTGTCAAATATGCTCTGATGTTTGCACAATGAAATCATCTCAATTATTTCTTAAAATGTATCCTGATGGTGACTGGGTGAGAGTGTGTGTATGCACACTTGTGTATACAGTATGTTGGGAGGAATTAACCTTTATTCCTCAAATTTCCAAGAAGAGATATCTTCCTCTGAACAATACTTCTTGCCTTTTGTGTACTTCCATGCTTTCACATATTTCTTACTAGACCAATGGCAATAATTTACTTGATTTATTCACTTACACAAAGGAACTGAGACCGTTTTGAATTTCCTCTTTGAGGTCTGTCTATCTAAACAAAGCTGCAACCTGCATTAATTTTTTTCATTATGGTAAAAAAAATAATAATAAAACATTATCTTAGCCATTTTAAGTGTACAGTTTGGGAATGTTAAACATATTCCCACTGTTGTCAAAACAAATGTATTTTTTTCATCCTGCAACTTCTCTTACAATTTCCCACCTATTTCCCTATAAGAACAAGCCCATTTGATACTAAATTTCAAGTAAAACCCAATGCCAAGGCAAATCAAAGGAGATAAGGGATTTCCCCCACCAATCTTTATTAGGATTATTATTTTCTTTCCAACAGTCGGCTATAAAATTACTGAGGTTTTGAATGGTCCACCCCCCCCTTTTCCTCAAGCACTGGCACTTCTTAAAATATTTTTACTGAGTGCCCTCCCTGGTGGTACAAGGGAAGAAGCTGGAGGCAGCCTCTTCAGCAAGAGTTCCACCCCGGCCAGGGAGGTACCCCACACAGCCCAGCAGACCTTTCCTGTCTCACACACTGCTTCCCTCAGCAGTGTACCTTGTTGATCTGCCTGTTCTGCCCCCTACTGTCTCTGGTGAATCCTCTCACCGCCCCTGCACCTCTGGTCTGTACCCTTGTTAAGTATGTATAAATAAATAAACCTTAAAAAAATATTTTTACTGAAGTATCAAGAAAAGTACACAAGTGTACAAAGTTCAATGAATTTCTATGAGCTGAATATACTTGTATATTAGCACCAAGATCAAGAATAAGAACATTACCAGCACTTCAGAAGCACTCCTTTCCCCACGCCCCCCACTCTCCTTTATTTATTTGATTAATATGTCTTTTGTTTGGTTTTTCAAAAGAACTCTTAAGTTCCCTTTATAATTACTCTTCCTCCCCTGCAATATTAACGACTATCCTGATAACCTTTAAAACAGAATTGTTAAATTATAATTTTAAGTTTATTGAAAATACATTAAATATGAATATAAAATGATAATATTTTGATAAATCTTAAACAAATTAAAAGTTGAACACCATAACTAGCACCTTGGTCAAAAAATGGGACTCTAATGCCCCACGATGTTCCTGAATCTAATTAGATGTTCCTTTTCTCCAGAAGCAGTTAATTATCCCAATCTTTATCCTTGAGTTTCTATATGGATTTACACACGTGAGAATTCCTAGGTACTACAATTTAATTTGTCCCCACTCCCATTTTCTTTTACTTGACATTTCAAAGCTATATACTCCTTTTTAGGCTCAGACAGTCACTTTTAAGCTATCTATTTCTAGTCTTGGCACTTTAAAGTCTCAATTTCACAGAAAGTGAATTTTCCAGGAACATGTTACATCAAAAGTACCTATAATAAATTATAATTATATTCTTTTATAGAGACTGCTTCTCCTAAAGTTAATTCTTATTTTGCTTGTTTAGTTTTCCATGCCTCCATTGTTAGTTCTTTGAAATCCTTCTGGGCAGTATTTTCAATAAGATGACCCATATTAAGACATCTGTGAACTGCACATTCCGGGTGACATCTTCCCTGGAGCCCTCAAGCCTACACCTCTGCTCTGATGACACATTCAAGTTGGCTGCTTCCAATCTCTTCCCCATATTGGATCTTCCTTTTCTTAGATAAGGCATCTTCCTTTTCTTCCTGATTTATTAACTTGTTCTGGTGAAACAGTATTCTAACAGTTTCCTTAAGAAAGTACTAGAGGTAAAATTTTTGAGATGTCTAAAGCTTAAAAATGTCATTTTTCTATTGCCATGCTGGAATGATTACTTGAGCATATACTTTACAAATTAAACATAATTGTCCCTTAGGATTTTTAAGACATTATTCCATTATCCTGTTTCTAGAGTTGGTCCTTGAGAAACATGATTTTCTCAGACTGTCTGAAAATTCTTATTGATCAGTAAAAGTTATTAACTTTTTAAAAAAAGATTTATTTATTCACACAGAAGTGGGGTAAAGGCCAGAGGTGCAGGGGCAGTGAGAGGATTCACCAGAGACAGAGTGGGGAGCAGAATAGGCAGACTGACCAAGTACATTGCTGAGGGGAGCAGCGGGCGGGTCAGGAGAGATATGCAGCGCCATGTGGGCATCTCTGGGTAGGGGATCAAACTCATGCTGAAATGGCTTTAGCTTCTTAGTGCTGTGCTTTAACCTGCTGCGCCACCAGGGAAGGCCCTAGCCTTTTTTTTTTTTTTTAAATATTTATTTATTTATGCTTACAGAACTGGTATACAGGTCAGAGGTACGGTGGGGGAGAGGATTCACCAGAGACAGAGTGAAAGCAGAACAGGCAGACTGACAAAGTACACTGCTGAGGATAGCAGTGGGTGGGACAGGAGAGGCCTGCCACACCATGTGGGTCAGTTCCCTGGCCAGGGATCGAACTTGTGCTGCAGTGGCTTTGGAGAGCTTCATAATGAGGTGCTTTAACCTTGTTGCGCCACCACAGAGAACCCAATTATTAACTTTTAAAAAATTATTTTCTGCCTTTTTAGCCTTCCCTAGCAAATTTTGTTGTAGCCCAGATTTTTTTGCTCTTACACTCATATGTCAAGAGCCAAAAAAAAAAAAAAAAAATCCAATTTCCTTCTCAGTTTCAGGGCTTTGCTCCAGAGCCCTTCCTTCTCGGAAAACGCCTTGCTCCTTAAAGCTGTGTTTTAATTATGCGTGTCCCAGGCACCACTCACACTTTCCATAATCTCAGTCATTCTCTTACACTCACTCATTCAAGGACGCGTTTAACTCCATGTTCATTATTTTTTCTCTCCTCCCTAACTCTTGTCAAGTTTTAGAGACTTTAAGATAACATAGACAACCATCAATTATACCTTCAATAATTCCAACTCAGTTATATATTCCCATAAACAAAGCTTCCACTTTGTAAGGTGGTGGAACCATATGAGGAAGAAGCAGTATTTGGAAAGGTACAGGATGGCTAAGAATTGTCTAAGATTGAAGACTCCATGCTGTAGATTCAAATGCTGAATCCTACGTAAGACATATAACGAAAAACACATGCAGGGACATCATAAAAAAATCCAGAAAAACACAAGAAAATTGGCTGAAAGAGGAAAAAAGGATGCATTCTTAAATCAGAAACAAGATGACTGGCAGCTAACAACAATAGCAAGGGAAGCCAAGACTACTGACCTATAATCCCATATCCAAGTCTAAATATCACTGTATCACTCCTCATACATTTGTATTAACTGGTCAATGCCTCTAGTACTAGCACCTGTCTATGTTCCAAGAGGAGGGGGATGACTCATTACTGATTACATGGATTCTACCACATGGCACATGGCATACAGTAGGGTAGGGAGGACTCAATTATCACTCACTCAACAGATACTGAGTGTCAATACTATGTGCTTGTTAGTGGTGCTCACAATAAAATAAAATATACAGAAATCAATGCCTTCATGGAGTTTACATTCTTATGGAAGGAGAAGAGCAAATAAGTAAAAAATATACAATGTCATACAGAAACAAAGCAGATAAAGATGAGTAAAGGGTTGAAAACTGCAATTTAAACTTTACATTCAAAGTTGAGTGGTCAGGAACAGACAAAATGAGGTAAGAAAACAATCCATGCTCACCTGGCAGGTTTGAGAACAGTCAGGAACTATGGACGGGAGAGAAAAAAACAAATGAGAGAGTTGTAAGAGACAAAAAAACATCAGGGCAAGGGGAGCAGCATATCATGTGAGGTCTTTAGGCCATTATTAAGACTTTGACTTTTACTCTGACTGAAATAAAGAGCTAGTCTGAAGTTTGACTTATATTTTAAAAGGATCATTCTGGCTACACTGTTAGAAAAGTCCATGAGGAAGAAGGGTGGAAACAAATCCAGTTATGAGGCTTCCAGCAACAATCCCAGAAAGAGGTCATGGTAGCTTGGACAGGAGTGTAGATGACAGCAGTATAGTATTGAGAAGTGGCTAAATGAAAGATATATTTGAAAGCACCACAAGAGCTGTGCACAGACAAGATGTGCAGTGTAAGACAAAGAAAGTGGTCTAAAATAATAGCAAGGTTTTGATTTGTGCAGCTGGAGAAGAAAAATTGCTATTTTTTCGTGCTGTGAAAGAGAAGGCTTTGGATGGATAAGCTAGGAGAAATTCAGTTTTGGCCACATCAAGTTTGAACTGTCTTTTATGTGTCAAAGTGGAGACATAAGATAACTGGCTACCTGAGCGGTTTAAGCTAGAGACAAAAATGAGGGAGTTGTCAAGATCTAGGCAGTATTTAGTCATGATACTGACAACAAGTTAACTTTGATAAAAGAATTAATTAATAAATATATGACACTGCATCACCAAAGCTGTCAAGGACAAAGTGATATCGAATATTGGGGACTTAAGTTTTTGTTGAAATGAAACCACAAACATGTTTTTTTTTTTTTAAAGATTTATTTGTGCATACATAACTGGGGTATAGACCAGAGGTGCAAGGGCGGTGAGAAGATTCACTAGAGACAGAGCAGGGAACAGAACATGTAGATCGACAAAGTACACAGCTGAGGGAAGCAGCAGGTGTGTCAGGAGAGGCCTGTGGCACAATGTGGGTCACCTCCCGGGTGGGGATCGAACTCATGTGTAAGTGGCTTTAGCTTCTTAGTGCTGTGCTTTAACTGGCTGCACCACCAGGGAGGGCCCTGGTCTTATTTTTTTTTTTTAAGAATCTTCCTTTGTCTTCAGACATTCTCAAATACTACCTTCTTTAACTGTCATTAGGTGTATAGCCAATCCTAAGGCCAGGCAAATTTCTTCATATTCTCCAGAGCTGATAAATTTCCTCTTAACTGTCACCGTATTAACCTGCACCCTGTATCATGAAATGAAGCTGTATGACTTACCAAATCCTGACTGCCCCCTTGTGGAGAGAGTGTTTGAAGATCTACTCATTTCTATGAGTTAATCTGAAGTCATCGGAACCATCAGCAGCTTGTACATTGTCTCTCTTATGTACAACTGTGTACAGAGTTCCATTTTGGTTTTATGTCTTGGTAATTTCTAAATAATAAGAGTCATGTGAACTCCTTTGTTTGCTGTAGGAATGTTGCTGTAAACACCCTACATCTGTGTCCTTTATGTGAAATCTTACAAGATATTTTTAATTAATAGGGGGAAAATGAAGAGTTGTAGGGCAATGTTTCTTTTTTAGGCACGATTGTCATAAACTCTTGTGTGTATGTGATGTTTGATCCCATTTACATGATATTCTAGTACAAGCAAGACTATAATAGAAAACAAAATTCACAAGTTACTTGTGGGAGGTTGGGGCTTGAAGTACTGGCAAAGAGGGATGATGAAACTCTGCAGGGTTATGGTAATATTCTACAGTAAAAGAAAACTGTCACTAGATGTCAGTATTACTCTACCCTGTAGTGTCAACAAAAAATGTCTCCAGGCAGTATTAAAAGTTCCCTGAAAGGCAAGTTCACCCCTAATTGAATACCACACTTCTATATCTTGACAGAGTATTGGCTTACATAGGTTTGTGCAATTGTCAAAACTCAGTGAACACACACTAAAAATCTGTGTATTGCAATATGGCTATTTTAGTGAAAAAGCAAAACTGCAGGGGCCCTCACTGGTGGCGCAATGTATAAAAGTACAAAGTGAAGCTGGCCGCAGCTGCTTCAGCACAAGTTCCAAGTTTGACACCCAGCCCCAGAGGTGACCCACATGGTGCGGCAGACCTCTCCTGTCTCGCTCACTGTTCCCCTCAGTAGTGTACTTCGTTGATCTGACTGTTCTGCTCCCCACTCTGTCTCTGGTGAATTCTCTCACCACCTCCTGCACCTCTGGCATGTACATCAGTTCTGTATGCATTAATAAATAAAATCTTTAAAAAGAAAGAAAAACTATAAACAGATAATCAACTCTAGTTAATGTTATGCATGCTAAAATATTTAGGAGAAAGCTTCTAAATATTGTGATGGTTGGGCAGAGGGTTACTTATATAAGCATATAATTATGCAAATCTATATAGTAAATGTTAATGGTAGACTCTAAGTAGTATATATAGGCCTATAAAATTCTTTTAATATTTCTGTACATTTGAAATTTTCTGATAAAATGTTGGGCAATTCTCACAGATCCATTATATAAATCAAAAGACACCTGATGGGACTAGTTCAGAATCACAGAATATATATGTGCACTGAGAGTATCAGCTTAAGTACTCGATCTTGTGACTTCACATATAAAACTTGTGATGTCTCAATGGCTTCTTGAAGAAGAAACAATACAACTCCACCATCACTAACAAGTTGCATCTGTAAATTCAAACCTCAAACACGATCTGGCTCAGTCCTAAAATTTCTGTGAAAGCAGTATATGCCTGCAATTTGTTTCACGAATCATCAGTTTTTTTTTAATTTAATGATTTATTATAGCAGTTCCTGTTTCTAATAAGACAAACACTTACTATAGAATTCTATATTAATATGAGTAACCCAAAGCAAAGACAATGTTACATGCCAAGTACCTCAATTTAAAAAGTGTTAATACACTGTGATATCACAGAATAGGTATATCAAATAAATCCTTCAAACAGGTACAGTGAAACTTACAGTTTCCTATAAACTTAAGTATAAGTACACATAAAGTCTACAATTTTACTGGGACTCATACAATCATCTAGTGCATTCCATTCAAAGCATGAATCATAAGTCAACAGTGGTTTATGATGTACTTGTTATGGTGAGATCAGTTTAGAAACTTAAACACTTAGAACTTTTTTAAAAAAGTTTAATTGCCAGAACATCTAAATTCATGATTAGTCATTTTTCTTGTTGAACAGAATATTTTCAAAAGATTTATTTTATTTATGCATACAAGAGCTGGTATATAGGCCACAGGTATGTGTGTGGTGGGGTGCTGGGTGAGAAGACTCACCAGATAGTGGGAAGCAGAATAGGTGGATCAATGGAAATACAATGCAGAGAGCAGCAGGTGAAACAGAAAAGGTCTGCTGTGTCATGTGGGTTAGCTCCCTGGCTGGGATGTAGCTGCAGACAGCTTCATTGTGCTGAGACTTAACCCTTTGTGCCATCAGGAAAGGCCTGACTGAACAGAATATTGACAGAACCAAATGTTGCCAAATTCACGTGGCAAGTCAGATATGGCATGATATATGCTAATCAGTCATAGCTGAATCAAGTTACACATGACAGCTTAAGGTTGTTTTGTCAGCTACCTAGAGGTGTATAAAAATCTGAGGAAATTCATAGGTTGATTCACTTTTATAGCTAATTATACAAATATTTTAATCTTAATTAAGCATGTTTTAAAACATAATCTAACATTATCACAGTTATATTAGAGAAGTGAAACATATTTTTAACCTAATTTCCATTTGGACAAAAAGCTTCAATGGATTTTTCAGCAGCTTTTTAGTGGAAAACACATATCTCTGAATGCACCAATAGCAAGCAATAAACCAAATGAGTATAAAGGAAGGAGATGAAGACCAAGAGGTCTACTTTCACTTAGAAGTAGGATTCCTTATAAGACTTGAGTTCAATTTTGTAACCATAATTGATAGCAAAGTGCTAGCACTACAGTGTGTTAACTACAGAGATAGAGTCTTCAAAATCTAAGGAATATTTACAAAAGTATGTATTAAAATAAGTTCAAAACCAAAAGAATTCTGTGAAAACCACACTGGATTTAAAAAGTATATGAAAATTTTACCCATATTTTACAGACTTGTTAAGGCAAAAATACTAAATACAATAGTAGAAGTAAGAAAATAATTACAACAAAGATATTTGCTTGGAAGTACCAGCTTATCACATTTAGAAACTAATGATATTGAAGATCAATTTGCAAAACAATGTTTGTAAAGTAATTTTTATTGCACCTTAACAAGTACGCAGATATTGTTAATGGGCTATCTGAAACATGATGGCAATATTTAGGGAAAATTCTTGTTCTCATTTTTTTTTAAAGATTTATTTATTTGTGCATACAGAACTGGGGTACAGGCCAGAGGCTCAGGGGCGGCGAGAGGCTTCACCAGAGAAAGAGTGGGGAGCAGAACAGGCAGATCAATGAAGTACACTGCTGAGGGGAGCAGCGGGCGGGTCAGGAGAGGTCTGCCTCACCATGTGGTCACCTCGGGGGAGTGCAGGAATCGAACTCATGCTGAAGTGGCTTTAGCTTCTTAGTGCTGTGCTTTAACCCACTGCGCCACCAGGGAGGGCCTTGTTCTCACAACAGCTCTAAACAGTTTAAAGAAAACAAGTAATTCCTCAGATTTAGAAGGAGCACCAAAAAGTAAATCAAGGGCCCTCCCAAGTGGCACAACAAGTTAGGACACAGCACTGCAAGCTAGCTGCAGCTGCTTTAGTGACAGTTCAAACTCCGGCTGGGAGGTGACCCACATGGCACAGCAGACCTCACCTGTCTCGCCTGCTGTTCTCCTCAGAGTGTACTTTGTCGATCTGCCTGTTCTGACCCCACTCTGTCTCTGGTGAATCCTCTCACCACACCTGCATCTCTGGGCTGTATCCCAGTTCTGTATGCATAAATAAAATAAATCTTAAAAAAAAAGTGAATCAACTCATTGCTTCTTTCACCAACAAATTCTTCATATAAAATATATAGCAAAGCTAAACATAGTGTCATAATAAAAATCATGAAAATGTAAATGTTAAAGCATTAGAAATCATTAACTTTATTATGTGATAGTAAAGTACTATTATAAATATCTACTAATGAACTAATGTTAAAATGTCAATTTTTAAACAATGGCTGAGAGGAAGCTGGAGTTACAGAACAAATTCTGAAGTGTTTCTGCAAGATAAAACACAGGTCTGGGTTGGTGTGAATGCATACTATAGTCTCTACGGAAAATAGTATGGTCTCTCAAAATAATAAAAATAGCCTAGAACATGATCTAGAAATATTCCTGGAGGCATTTACCTGAAGAATACAGAAAAAAAACCACAAAAACCCACTGATCTGAACATTATAAATACACATATACACACACACAAAATGGAATACTACTCAACTATAAAAAGATGAAATTTTAACATATGCATCAGATTAGATGGAACTGAAGGGGATTATGCTAAGTGAAATATCAGGAGAAAAATACCAGATGATTTCACTCATGTGGAATATAAAAAAAAACAAAGTAAATTAACAGATAAAACCAAACCAAAATAAACCCTTGGAATCTGACTATCAGAAGAGTGAGAATGGAGAGCAGAGGGGAGCGGACGCTGTGGGCTACACAGGAGGACCACAGGTGCTTTGGAGGTGGGCATGGGATAACATACATTTGAAAAGTGTGAATCCTGAAACACGGTGTAAGCCATTACCTCAATAAAAATAATTAAATTCTGTTCCAACTTTTAAAATGAGATAATTTTTCTAGTGTCTTCAGTAATCTTAAAGAGTCCCTCATAAGGAACATGCAATATGCTTTTTGTAATGCACGTAAGGGGAAATACAGAACTTACACGTTTGAACAGATTACCACCATATCCCTTATATGTAACAGAATGTTTTAAAATATATTTGAGGCTATAGGATCATTTGGTTTTGAATAAAATTCTACTTTAATATCCTGAGCTTTATGAAATTTCTTAAGATTTCTTTCAATCCTGTAACTGGTTGGTCCCCAGGGAAAGGGGAGTTTCAAGGTCCCTGGCATCACCCAAGAGAGGGTGTGGCTGAGCAGGGAAGGGAATCTGGAGAGGTGACTAGTGAATGAAGGACGGACGGAAAGCCAGAAAGAGACCTGATAGAGGCACTTGGAGCAGAGATATGTGAAGAAGCTGTGCTTGCTTCTTGGCCTTGGACTGGTTAAACAAATGTGGATGACAGTAGGGAGGTTAATAGTGGCAGCTTTGATTTTGATTTTGCTCTTTTCTTTCCAGATTTGTCTGGCTGTTTCTGACCCTTTTCTATGGTTCTCCACTTTTCTCTTCTGTGGCAGGCTTTCAGGCCTAGCTTTAGGCAAACCCTACTTGGCTGGACATTTACCCATGAGGGAATTTTTGAATTGGAAACTATAGATAGTCTTTTCTTTGTTGCACACTAATTGTATTAGTTCCTTTCCATTAAAGATATTACATGTTTTGTCTTGATGTGGCAGATGGCAGAACCTATTTAGAAAGGGCAGGTTTGGATGTTCAGGGGTGTTCCTTTCCCTGAACATAACAATTCCACGAACATAAATCAGAAATAATGGCCTCTCTTGAGTATTATTAAATCAAATCAAGGAACAGTTTAATGATATGTATTACCTGAAAGTAAAGTTGACTACAATCCAATTTAACCAACTAAAACTTTACAACAGATGAAAGTGTTTGTCCAAGGTATTTTATTGATTATATTGTTAAAATGTAAATTTGTCACTTGTATAATGAAGCTTGTATATTGTACATCTTTTGTTTTTATCAATTCATTTTGCAAACAAATCAGTCCACAATGGACAGGAAATTTTAAAAACTGTCTTCACCACATTTTAAGAAATGCTGGGCTAGACTTAAGAAACCTTAATACTTAGTTTTAATTCACCCATTGTATAACCATCACCCCCCCTCCCCAAAAGAAACCCCACAAACTGTTAGCAGTCACTCAGTCCCAATAATCCTTTGTGAAAAATTCAAATTTTCATTTTAATAACTTCCCCCCCGCCTGATTCTTTCTGTTAACATTTCTTGTTGTGCAGGCCTGCTGACAGCAAATGCTCTCATCATTAGTTTGTTAAAGTCTTTCTCCCCTTCCCATTTCTGAAAGGTATTTTTCTAGTTAGAGAACACTAGATTGACAGTTGTTGTTTAAGGACTTTAGTGATATCTTATCACTGCCTTTTGGTCTGCTAAATTTCTGGTGAGAAATTTGCTGACATTCTTGTTAATCCTTGCTATTTCTTCATTGCTAGACAGTAGTTTTCTAAATCTACTAATAATTTCACAATTTCCTATCTAAAGTCTTTGTCTTAGTCTTCATGCAATTCCACCTCTTCTTTAAAATATATCCCTGGTGGCACAGCAGGTCAAAGCACTGCACTAAGAAGCTAAAGCAACTTCAGCATCAATTCAGTCCCCACCCCGGAGGTGATCCACATGGCACCGCAGACCTCTCCTGACCCCATCTGCTGCTCCCCTCAGCAGTGTACTATGTTGAGCTGCCTGTTCTGCTCCCCACTCTGTCTCTGGTGAA